TAGGCCATAGGTACAGGGGGTAAGAGGATCCACTAAAGACAGAGTAAGGAGCTGAAGTAGATATTTTTTTAAATGGAATTTATTTATATATATTTTAGATCACGGTTTATCTTTGTACGATGTTTGCTTTCTCCTCTCAGGTGTAGTCCCCATAGAATTCTGACCACCAATTCACCTGTGCACCATCACCATTGTCCCTTGTGCTCTTACCTCCCCTGTTTTGATCCCTCTCCCCCCCACTTCCCTGAAGAATGTCTCTCATTTATAGTTGCCTAGAACAGGTGGATTTACTGAAATACATTGGTAAGGGGAGCAGTGGTTCAGACAGGAGAGGTCTGTTCTGCCATATGTGGGCTAGCATTCTGGCTGAGATCAAACTCAGTCCCCAGTGGTGATAGTGTTAAGGGGAAGGATGTCCTAAAAGAACTCTGCAGAGTTGGGTGGGCTCCACCCCTACTCCAGCTTTCTGGATTCTACCCCCTACTCCAGAGATTGGAAAACTACAACTCCTAGCAGTACCAAGGAGAGAACTGCAAGGCCCTAAGGGCGGAACCCAAGTCCACTCTGGGCTACTCTGTAACAATAGCACTGATACTTATGTCACGGAGGCCCCTAATTCTAAAAATTTGTCCCTTTCTTCTAGGTAGTCCAATTTGTGCATATAATTGTTAATAGTAGTCACTTATGATCCTTGTATTTTGTGGTCTCTGTTGTACCTGTACCACTTCATTTCTGTTTCTTTATACTTTTCTTGGTGAAACTACTTACATGTTTATCAATTTTATATATCCTTTCAAAGCACAGCTCTTGGTTTTATTAAACTTTTGTATTTTTTTTGGTTTCTATTTCATTTATTTCTGCTCAGATATTTATTTCCTTTCTTTCACTGACCTTTGATTTTGTTTGTTCTTTTTCTAGAGCTCTTTCAGATGTGAAGGTATATTATTTGTGACTTCGTTGCTGTGAGCTTCTCTCTTACTACCATTTTTGCTGTATCCCATAGGATCTGGTAGCTCTTTCTTCATTTTCACTGATGTTCAGATAATTTTTTATTTCTTTGTTGATTTCTTCATGACCAGGGGTTATTCAAAAGCATCTTGTTCAGTTTCCATATGTTTGTGGGTTTTTTGATTCCAGTTTTCTTTTGTGGTGGTTTCTAGTTTTATACTATTGTCAGAAAAGATGCTTGATATGATTTCAATAAGAATTTACTTGTTGAGACTTGTTTTATGTCCCAGGCTATAATTTATCTTTGAGAATGTTTCATGTCAACTTGAGAATAATGTGTATTCATGTCTTTTGGGTTAGAAAGTTCTCTATGTCTGTTAACATCTGATCCCTTACTTCATTTAAGACCTTAACTTCCTTGTTTACATTCTATCTTAATGACCTGTCCATAGATGTAACTTGTGTGTTGAGATCCCCTATTATTATGCTGCTGGCAATGTCTTGCTTTATGTCTGCTATTGTTATATGTATTTAGGTGCACATGTGATGGGTATATAAATACTAAGAGCAGTTATAGCTTCTTAATGGATTGTTCCATTTATCATTATATAGTGTCTGTCTTTGTCACTAGTTACCTTTTTTGGTTGAAAGTCTAATTGATCAGATATAAAAATGGCAGATCCTGCTTTTCTCCTCTGTGTTATTGGCTTGAAATACCTTGCACCAATCTTTTATTTTAAAGTTCTTTGCCTTTGGAGCTAATATAAAACTCCTGTATGTATAATATAAATGGATCATGCTTTTTTATTTAATCTGTTACTGTGTCTTTTGATTGGTGAGTTCAGACTGGTAACATATGTGGATTTCCTTGGCATTCCTACTAGTACAGTCTGTTGATCTCTGAGGTGTAAGAAGTTATTTTTTTTTTTAAGTTTAATTTTAGATGAAATACTTTTTTTTCTTATATTACTTTAAATTGTTGGACAGTACATGATTTCTCCCCTCAGGTGTAGTCCCTGTAGTTCTTCTCTTCCCCTTTCCCTGTTGGATGCTTCAGATCTATGGTCAGCTTACAAGTTGTATCTTCCTTCTGCCCCTTTGTTTCCTCTTTATTCCATGTGTAAGTGAAATGATCTGATATTCATCTTTTCCTTCTGACTTATTTCTTTTAGCATAATCCCTTCCAGCTCCATACTTTTTGCTGAAAATGGCATGAGTTATCTTTTTTTGATCACTGAGTAGTATTCCAATGTGTATGTATACCACATCTTGATCCATTTTTCTGTTTGGGAGGCATTTATGTTGTTTTCATATCTTTATGAAAACATAAATTGTGCTACAATAAACATAGGGGTGAAGGTATTTTTAATTAATGTTTTTTTGTATTCTTTGGGTAGATTCCTAGGAGTGGAATAGCTAGAATGTATGATAGATACATATTTAGTGCTTTGAGGAATCTCCATACAGATTTCCATTGTGACTGGATCAATTTCTATTCCTACTATCAGTATAAGAGGGTCCCTTTCGCACCACATCTTTGGCCAGCATTTTTTTTTTTTTAATATGAGCCATTCTCTCAGGTGTAAAGTAGTATCTCATTGTGGGTTAAGTCTCAGCACTATCAAGCTAGCTCCCGCCACTGCAGCAAAAGTTTGATCCTGGCCAGAGAGGTGACCCACATGGCACAGCAGACCTCTTGTCTCATCTTCTGCTCCCCTAAGCAGTGTATTTCAGTAGATACGCCTGTTCTACTTCCCTCTGTCTCTGGTGAATCCTCTTATCCCCACCCCAGTACCTTTGGCCTACACCTCAGCTTTTGTATGCATAAATAAATCTTTAAAAACAAAAATTCTAAGACCCCAGCTCTAGCTGGGCAACTACCAGTCTCTGTCCTGGCTTTAGGAATTTACCTATTCTAGCCGTTTTCATATAACAGAAATAATAATTTCACACACACACACATAATCTGTAGTGTGATCTTTTGTTTGGTGTTTTACTTAATGTGTTTAAAGGTTCACCTACACACTAACTATATTCCCTTTAACACATTAGCTTGTCTCATTTGTGTGAACAGTGTAAAGATTCTTTCATCCTTGGATGAATGTTTAGAAATATGGTTTCCACCCAGGCTTGATGAGGACCCACAATAAATAAGGGCTACTCATAGAGTCTGATACTCTTGTTCCAGATTTTCCTTGTCTTTTTCCCTTTTCAAGTATTAGAGGGCTGTAACTCTGGATATGGGGAAGTGACTAGCACAATGCTTGGGATACAGACACACTCAATACATGTGGTCAGAAATACATTATTAAGTATTTCCTTCCTATAATTCAGGACTTTTGGGGAGACACCCAAGAATAGTGGCCAAGTGTGGGGGTACTAGACCAGTCACCTGGGTTCAAGTCTCTGTTATGTCATTTGTTTACCATTTGTCCTTCAGCAGAGCACTTGACTTCTCTATGCTTTAACTGAACATTGCATTAAGTAAGCTTCAGGTGTCTCATTGACAACCATTATGTGTATACACTGCACCAAGGTCACTACTAAATCCAATTCTGTCCTTCACCATACTGCTATCCATGCTTTCCTGTTTCTACCCACATCCTTGGTCAACAATGCTTGGTCTTTATAGTCCAAAGATTTGTTTCCATACATACAAGTAGTGGAGTGAAATGATGTACTTCTCTCCTGACTTATTTCATTAAGAATAACAGCCTTTTAGCTCCATCCAGGTTGTTGCAAATGCCAGGGTTTCACTATATTTAAAAATCATCTTTACCCATTTGTTAGTCAATGAGCACTTCAGGTTGTTTCCAGGTTTTGGCTATTATAATAGCTGTTGGCTATTACAATGTTTCAGTAAACATGAGGGCACATATATATGCTTGACTGATACTTTATTAGAGTAACTGGGAGGACTCTGACCTTACTCAGGTATTGCGACATCTATCCAGTTTTGAAACTTTAGCCCCTCTAGCATCTGAACACTTCAAGGCACAACAGTGGACACTGAGCATTTGATTAAGATGTTAGATGTCCTGTCAAATTTTCGGTATCTTTTCTCCTCTTATAAAGCGCATTAGGGAGAAAATGATCACTGAATAAATGGATACTCTCAAGGGCATATATTTTACCTTGAAAAGTGTGTTAGTCATTGTCTATACTGATAAGAGGAAAGGGTGTAGGCTGGCTGGTTTTAGGAAACCATTTACTTGCTTGCTGAGCCACCACCATACACGAGGGGCGCTTCAGCAGAATCTATTTGACAAGAAGCAAGGTATTTGTGTTGGAAACCATCTCATACAATGCTCAAACACGATGTATAAAATTCCATTTCCAATCTATGGAGGTGACCTGTGCAACACTGTTACTACAATTATACTCTTCTCAAGGCTGGACTCTTGTTTCTGTGGAGTGATGCTTCTATATCCAAAAATATTGCCCTGATCTCCAGCTTAACATTTTAAAGTTTATTGAGCTACCTGCAGTTGTTGCAATTTGCAATAAACCTGGATTTTTACAAAGCAACAACCTGATCTCCAGATCAGGTCTATGTAATACAGAACATTTAATGGGGATGAGTGTGAGGGAATGTTGACCTACTATGGCATGTGTGAGAACTGTCAATGAGCTGAACTTGTGGCATAGTATAAGGAGAGAAGATGTTTCTGGTGGGAGGAGATCTGAGGGCAGATCACAGTGCCATTCACAGAAGGTTCTGGGACCTGAGTACAATGTGGAAACAGGGGAAGAATGCAGGAAAAGTAAACTCAGAGATTTTCTTACAATGGGAAGTTTACCTTGGACCCATCTGTATTCTTTACATTTGTGAAGAAAGCAAGTTATGTAGTGAATTGCACAAAATGAAGTCCCTTGGATATGACCTCTTAACTTCATTACTTCATTCATCCTGGTTTTTTTCCTAAATGTGGGTCCTCTAACATTAAAGATTTTAATACCTTTGGGGAAATTGTATGTCCACTGCAAGAAGGGATACTTTAACATTTCACTTTCTAAAAGAGGGGGCAAGTCATATAAATACAATAAACATATCTCAAAAAAGAATGATACAACTTTTATTCTCCATGGATTTTAAAGATACTTTTGCTACATAGTTTATGCATTTTTATGAGATTATATTTTTTCCATTTGTATGAAGTTCAACCTTATACAACTTTAAGGTGATATGTTTGGTAGTGTATAATCTTTAAAAAGTTTAGAGTTTTTGGAATGTACAGTATATGAGGTAAAATCAAGATTACATTAAAAATTGGTTTCTCCTCTGCACTAATTTTGCAGTGAGGCTCAAATGGCAAGGACACTATTAAATGACATTTACTATCAAAAATAGGAGTTCATTTGAGTCACTATGAAAAACATAAGCCACTGTAACTGCTACAGTGGCACATTTTACCATTTTAGACATTCAACTATATAGAAATCTCTGGGCTATTACACTCAAACTCATTTGTATTGCCAAATGTGGCACTTTAAAGAAGTTTCTAGAAAACAATCGTAATCACTGTTGTTTTGGGGGAAGGTTATCAGCCTATGAATAAGAGATTAAAATTAAATAAAATGTAAACATACAGTATTTTATAGTGACAGATCATTCTTACCACTTGGAAGGCCAAGTTTATCCGCTTCTTTTTTGAACAAAGATTAATGTTTTTTTCTCTACAGCATAAATCATTTGACATAAAACAATTACAATACATGCCCATTCTAAAAGAGAAATTCCTCAGAGTTCTTCAAAGCACAAAACATGTTTTTTTCCCAAGGACTGACAGAAGTGCTTACAGTAATCACTAAAATGCTAACTTCAGCAACTAAAAATTAGTGATTCACTACCCTAAAATTCAAATAATAAATTAAAAAGGCTAGTTACAAGTGTTTTACAGATGACAGATGTGATAAAACAAGATTTTTAGATAGTTTCATTGCAAACTGTATTATTACTGGCAGTCATTGACATCTATGCAAGATGTACAATGTGATACTTGACAAAATTCAATCTGATCATCCAATAACTCACAAATGCAAGCTCACAAAACATTAATGAATTATGCAATTGCAAAGTGCTCTAATGCAACATTAACCACATGCAGTCAACAATTTGGAACAATATCCAAACAGACATTACATTAAACATTAGTTTTTCAAGAAAGAAAGCAGCTCAAAGTTTACTGGTGCAAATTAATTTTGTCTTCAGATTTGGTGCCCCAAACAAAAAAGTTAGGTTTGATTATGATTCTGATGGCGATGGCAGTAGTTATGGGAGAAGCAGCAAAACTTACAGGAGTTCTTCAAATTAGCCTACATCAAGTAGATGGAGTGAGTGAAAATGTGTGTGTGCATATATTTATATTATCTACACGTGATTCGTATAGTTTTAGATATGCTATGTGTAGGTGCATATATATATAGTTCAAAGCCTCATAAAACCAAGTAAGTTTCAAATTCAAACTTGATTATATTACTTTTAAGGAGTATCTAGAAGTTCACCGTTCTTTTACAAGTTCTCAAGACGTGAAGAGGTACTTTTTGAGTAAACATTAAATATTTTTAGGCCAAGTAAAACTCTGTGCTTTCTTTGTGATTTACTGTGAACTCATGAATGTATTTGTAATGAAGAACTCCACATTTATCAAACAAGAAGCTTCCCCCCCATGTATATTCTTTCATCCAGTTTTTGTTTGCTAAGCCCCTCCAGTTATTCATCATAATCCCACTTACCAAATAATTAAGACAAATGAGGAGGTAGAAATATAGCACTAGATTGCTTTCACAGCATCAGACTTTTAACAATTTTATATAGCATGTTAGTGTAAGTTTTAATCATTTTGAAATTTTCATCTGGTTTCATAACCTTTATAAAACAGATCAGGTTATCACTTTTATACTCATGCTGATTGGTCAAAATTGCAATTATATACCATTGCCTCTTAGAAAGTTTGTTGTATTAAGAAGGCAAGTCCAAAAAGAAAAAAAAAAAAGGAAAAAAGCCCCAAACAAAACACCCCAAAATGCTATTTCTGTGGCTTGCATTTTAATAAGGTGCCAGCCTCCACCTAACAATATGAGCACTGAAAATGGCAAAAATGATGTGCTATATATAGTCTCAATGCCAGTGCCAAAGGCCACTGTTTTTGTAAAAGCAATACAGAAATTTTAGTACATGACAAAATAAAATGTAATACAGTATTAAAAATAAAGTTATATTTTCACTTGATTACAAAGTACTGAATGATAAAGGCAATCAAAATGGAAAAGAAAGCAAACAGCACGAGGATGACGGCTGCGCACTGCTCGTCACTCAGTGCCCGGCGGGTCCTCGTGCTTTCCACAGTGTCTCTGCTGGTGCTGGCTGGGGGCTCAGTCCTCTGAGAGATGAAATGCACGGTGGTGCTGTAGGGACCCACTAGGTCCTGATGCCCCACAGGGTCTTGGCACTGGCGAATGGCACACACACGAAAACGATATTCACAGTTCAGCTGAAGGTTTGAATACCGGAATGAAGAGTCGGAACCTTTGTAAATCTGTTAATATTAGGAAAAAAAGCTGTATGTGAAGGCTATATTTTTGACATGGGTACTGCTTTTTATCTTTTAAGCACTATTAAATGACATTTTAAAAATACCTGTCTATGAAAGAATTTACCTGTCTACTGTAAAAGGTCAAGAGAGATGTGAGACCTAGCCTCAGAATTTACAGACCAGTAAAGGAGTGAAGACGTATCCTAAAAGTAGCTAGAGAACAAGCAAAATCAGCTCATAGGCACTTCACTGGTTTCTTTAAGTGTGAGAAGCCAAACTTTTGTGAAATCATCCCATGAAAAAGAACAGTGTCTAACCTTGTGCCCCATTATCCCCCTTCCCCTTTTTAAAAAGATTTATTTATTTATGCATACAGAACTAGGGTATAGGCCAGAGATGCAGGGGCAGTGAGAGGATTCACCAGAAACAGAGTAGGGAGCAGAACAGGCAGGTCTACTAAAATACACTGCAACACATGAAGCAGGAGAGGTCTGCCATGTGGGTCAGCTCCTCGGCTGGGGATTGAACTCATGTTGCAGTGGCTACTGATAGCTTCCTAATGTTGACACTTAACCCCTTGTGCCACCAGGGAGGCCTGAAGTAGAATGTTTTTTGATTCATCCTACACAGTGGGAGTATAGAAATGGTTCAAGTCTGGATGGTAAGAGGATTAACTTAAATCAGGAGATTATATGAGAAAGAAGTGTGAAATAATAGTACACATACGAGGTTGGTTTAGAAAATATGTTTGATAGATATAATAGGTCATGCTTATGTTTGTTTTTAACCTCCAAGCTGTGTGGAGGTTCCTGAAGCCACTAAAACTGGAGCTTCCATATGACCCAGCAATTCCACTTCTAGGAATCAACCCAAAGGGCACAAAAACATCAATTTGAAAGGATACCTGCACCCCCATGTCTATTGCAGCACTATTTACAATGGATAAGCTGTGGAGGCAACCCAAATGCCCCAAAACAGACAACTGGATCAAGAAGATGTGGTACACACACACACACACACACACACACACACACACACACACACACACAAATGGAATATTATTCAGCAATCAAAAAGACAAACTCATACCATTTGCAGCAACATGGATTATGCTCAATGAAGTAAGCCAGAAGGAAAAAGAAAACTATCAGATAGCTTTACTTGAAAGAGGAATACAAGGGAACCAAATAAGGGACCAGGAAAAAAAATAACAACAAAAAAATTTGCAGGCAACTATAAATCAGACATTCTGCAAAGGAGGAGGTAAAGGAAGAAGGATGAAAATGGGAGAGAAGAGCACAAGGGACTATGGTGATAGGACATGGGTGAATTGGTGGTGGGAATTTTATGGGGACTACACCTAAATACAAGCATACATTGTACAAAAATGATCAATGATACAATATACATATATATATATAAAAATATAAATATATAAATAAATTACTTTCCATTTACCTTCAAATGAACACGGTAATATATGTAACTTATATGTAACCATATGATAATATGGTTAGGAGAAAAACCTCAACAAATGGTATTAGGCTTAGTATTACTGTTAGCATTAGTATTACAGTTAGCATAAGATAATGATTTTAGAAAGACTTTGAGACTGAATTCAGTCTTATTAAAAACCCTTTGGCCCTCCCTGGTGGCGCAGCGGGTTAAAGCACAGCACTGACAAGCTAAAGCCACTTCCCATGAGTTCGATTCCCGCCTGCCCCGGAGGTGACCACATGGTGTGGCAGACCTCTCCTGGCCTGCCCGCTGCTTCCCTCAGCAGTGTACTTCGTCGATCTGCCTGTTCTGCTCCCCACTCTGTCTCTGGTGAAGCCTCTCACCGCCCCTGAGCCTCTGGCCTGTACCCCAGTTCTGTATGTACAAATAAATCTTTAAAAAAAAAAAAAAAAAAGCAAGCATGTGTGGTCTCAAAATTTGGGAAATGCACCAAAAAAATCACTATGCACCACTAAACATCAGGTATTATGTCTGAGAAATATGCTGTTAGGTAATTTTGCCATCATGTGAATGTTATAGAGTGTAATCACACAAATCTAGATGGCATATAGCCTGTTGGGACCAATACAATAATATATGGCTTGTAACTTAATTGTCTTTAAATAACACATGACTAATGTGATCCTCTGTAATGGATGAACATACTATATTGCAAATTATTTTGCCACTATCAAAATAAGAGAACACTAAAAACTATTACAAATAACCAAAATAAACAAGTACTATATAATTTTTATATCTGCCATTCTTACTCTCTGTAACTGCTGAAGGAGCTGTAAATAAACTTGGTGCTTTTAGAATAATTCTTGATTGTGAACTACTAAGAATCACTTGGCTGAGGAGGGATGAATTTATTCTCCTAAATCACGTAAGTTATACAAACCAAAAAGAAGAAAAAATTTACTAACCTCCCCAAAAGCATGAAAAGTAGTTTCTCACTTATTTAAGAAACACTTGGAACTTAAAAAGAACAACAATCAGAACTGTGGGTATCCTGAGGAACAATGCTTGTGAGACTCTACATTCAGATGTTTGAGAGAGAGAGAGAGATTGTACAGATACTGTCCTCACACTTCTTCTCTTACATTGGAACCAGTAACCTGATTTTGGACTGGGTTTTGACAGCTCCCTGACCCAGCCCATGAACTTGTAGCTGACCTCACTTCATATTCCAGAGGTAGCCCCTGAATGCATTAAGCAAAGCCCTGGAAAATACCCGCTTAGGAATGGCTTTGTAAACCAGGTGCCTTTTTTCCCTCACAATCATGTCAAAGAAAGTTCTCTAGTACTAAGGTTGTGAGAGCAATTATATCCTTGATGACCTGACTGAGTTTCTCCCTACAAGGATTTATGCTTACTTGTCTGAGTTCAAGCTGGTTTTTCTTGATCCCACCCTCATTTCATTGTATTATGTATTTCATTTGTAATCAATCCATTTGGTAGAACTGTATTTCATATTTTGAATTATGTACTGTTTTTCAGATTTCAGCACAATATTCAATTAAATGATATGAGGTCTTTAACATTTTATTATAAAATAGGCTTTATATTAGATTTTGCCCAGCTAGAGGCTAATAGTGCATGTTTATGTAGGCTAAAATATCAGGGTCAGTAGGGTAGGTGTATTAAATGCATTTTTGACTTAGGGTATTTTCAGCTTATCATGGTCTTATTAGGACCAATCTCATCATGAGTAGAGGAAGATATGTACTTGTAATATAAAACATTCTAACACAATATTTGCCTTAAGTATAGAGTCCCATGTAGGGTTGATCTACTTTCAAAGTGGCTCTACAGTTTCCCAATATTTTCACTTCACCTTGCTATATGTAACATTTGAAATGCTGTTTTGTTTAAGAAGCACTTGCTTTTAAAAAATGTATACACAATTAAGAGGACTAAAAGAAGTTAGCAGACATCTCATTTTTGGTATGATTTTCCCCAAGCAAACAAGTATTTTTCCTAATGCTTTTAAGATCAGTTATACTGTGTATTTTAGGAGTTATAATGCGTAGTGACAGTGGAAGGTGAAAGTCAGAGGGACAGTGTAATTTAAAAAAAAGGAGCTACCATAGGTAAGGTGCTACAGGCAGTTTTCTACAGGCAGCAAGAAGACAGTAAGCATTCAGGCAAAGCTACTGAATGATCAGAGGGATGAAGAAAGGGAAGAATGTGTTTCTAAGTCTGGACAGGGTCATAAGTACTTCTTGTTGTCTGACTAATTTGCTTTCAGATCCCTAGACATTACAGGATTTTAAAGACTAGCCTAAAAATGCAACCATCAACTCATAAATAATGCCTTTGATAAAAATATGAATAGTTCCTAATGCTATATAGATCTATTGGTACTAGGTTACTTCCACTACACACATAGGCTTTATCTTTATTGTGCTTTTTAAAATTTGTTTGATTATGTAAAATGTCAAAATTGTAAAATCTGTATGTTTGCTAAATTCTAAAGTTTCTTGAAATCAGCACAGCAAGTTAACAATGTGGCCCTTAGTAACTACTTATAATTTTAAAATTTTGATTAACTTTTAGGTTTTATTTATTTTTGAGAACTGGGATGTAGGCCAGAGCTGCAGGGAATAAGAGGCTTCACCAGAGAGTGTGGTGAACAGAACAGGCAGAATTATTGAAATACACTGCTAAGGAGAACAGCGGGTATGACAGGAGAGGTCTGCTGTACTCTATAGGTTAGCTCTCTGGCTGGGGATTGAATTCAGGTCCTTGCAGTAATAGCGCAGAGAAAACCCCTAAGCTGGGCCCTCCCTGGTGGTGCAGTGGGTTAAAGCACAGCACTAAGAAGCTACAGCATGAGTTCGATTCCCAGCCAGTGAGGTGACCCACATGGTGTAGCAGACCTCTCATGACCTGCTGCTCCCTTCAGCAGTGTACTTCATCAATCATCCTGTTCTGCTCTCCACTGGTTTTGGTGAATCTCTGGTGAATCCTCTTACTGTTTCTGTACCTCTGCCCTGTACCCCAGTTCTGTATACATAAATAAATCTTAAAAAAAAAAAAAACAAAACTAAATTCATGAGTAAAAACAAATTCTTAAAAAATAACCTTCAAAAAAGCCTTCAGAATATAGCTTGCTAACAGGTTAAAAAATTTTATAAACATTTAAGTGATTTAGATGAGTATATACATGTTTGTATATATTTTAAAGATTTTATCATTTATGCAAACAGAACTGGGGTGCAGGAGAGGGGGGGGGTGAGAGGATTCACCAGACAGAGTGGGGTGCAGAACAGGCAGACTGATGAAGTACACTGCTGAGGGGAGCAGTGGGCAGGTGAGGAGAGGTTCTAAAGTAAGCAAATATGATGATAGGGTTAATTTAACTTCATCTTATGTTTTAGAAATATTTATTTATAAATATATATATTTTACATCATTGTTCATTTTTTTTTGCACAGTGTTTGCTTTCTCCTCTCAGGTGTAGTTCCTGTAGGATTCCTACCACCAATTCACCCATGAACCATCACACCACAGCCCCTTAGTTTAGCTTTTTAAAGTTCAATTAGAATTAGCACTGTTGCTTTATGTAGCAATACAAGTTTACTAAAATTCATATACTACTCAAATGTGGGATCCCTATTTCTTTTAAATATGTAATACAATTACATTCTTTTTTTTTTTTTTTGACATTTATTCTTCCTTGGAAGGAAACCTGCTTATCTGAAAATTATATTCCAATCTAATCAAGTCAATTTGCAGATGGCTTAATAAAGAAAAACAATCACATGCCCAATCTAATCTCTTTGGATCCTTTGTAATATCAGTTAAGAAATTATACCTCTATATGTAACAAATATTGAAAGAAAATCCTATCAAAAATACTCTATTGTTTTTAGTTATTACAACAGTATAAAACTGAAATGAAATAGATCATCAATTTCCTAGTGGGGAAAAGACACTAAACTCAGTTTAAAGGTCCTTAAAAACCTAGAAAGTTGACAGCAAAACAGGAAAATCAAATTAAATACTACAGTTACATGAAAAACTTAATTTTTTGGTAGAAGTTTTAACAAAATGGGGAGCTGTCAGTGTTCATCTGACTTTAGGGGGATAGCTTTGAATTTTGTGGCCAGGAGGTGATATTTCTTCTAGGCTCCGTAATAATTGTGTTTACTGTCATGTTTATAAGCTTTTCCCTATAATGCTATTATTGTAAAAGCCTTTTACTGGTCTTCTCTGCTTCTGCCCTGTGCCACTCTACAAAAAAAGACTATCTCTTATCTCTGATCATGTGACTACTCTGGTCAAAATACTCTATCCGTTGTTTTCTCATTGCTCATGGACTATATAGTATAACTATAATGTCTTATGTGTTTCCCATACCACTCACATGGGTAGTGTAAACTGGGGGTGGAGTGTCTAAATATCTGATTTGATTCTTCCCATACTCACTCTACCCCAACTACACTGGCTTCCTGCTTATTCACTAAATTTAGCAAGTCATGCTCTTAAATGCCTCAGGGTCTTTGCACCTATTGCTTCCTCTTCCTGAAATACTCCTCTCTATACTCATTTCCTCTGGGTCTCTGTGTAAATGAGAAATGACTGTCCTGTATGAAATAGCATTTGTCCATCCTCCTGGTATCCTTTATTCCGTTTATCAAATTTTATTTTGTCTCCACTGCACTGACCACCATCTGACACGATATACTGATAAGCTTATTTGCTCTTACTGGCTCTTTTTCTACCAGAGTGTAAAGTTCCATGGAGGCAAGAACTCTCTGTTCAATGTTGTATCCTAAGTATATCACAGAAAATTTAACAAACACTTGATGAATGAATGAATAATCTGTTTAGCTAAAGTTCATGCCCCTAAATTTTGAATCATGATATACTACACAGTAATCCTTGGAACAGAGTAACTTCTTAACAAAAGGTTTTGAATTAGAAAAGCAAGGACAGTAAATCATCTATTGAAAATATATAAAAATGAGAAAGGTAAAATATGCCATCACAGATTTATATCTTGACACAAACCTGTTTGAATTCTGAATCTTTTCCCACCATGACTTGCAGATTGTAAATAACTGGATCACCTTTCATTGGCTGTAAACACTCCCATGCAATTTCACAAATGTGATCATTTACTTTCTCTATTTTGGGGGCTATAGACAAAAAAAAAAAAAGAAAATCTGAGCTACTTGGTACATCACACAGACACTTGTTTAACCAAAGTAAGTTTAAGGAATCTTTAAAATTCAGTTATGAACTTGACATAAGTATTGATGAATTTTTGAAATTTACAGAGAAAGTCAATGGTTCACTCATATTATCTGCAGGTGCTACAATGGCCAGAATGACCAAAAGATTTTCTCATACATGTTCTCATTGAACTAAGTACCAGTTTTAGAACAAGGTTTTTCAAAGAGCATTACTTGAACATGAAATTTAAGAAATTGAAAATAATCCCCCACTGATATAATTATTAAATATACTTAAATAATTATATTTAATTAAAAACTTATATTGCCTACTCAATAGAGTAGAGTACAATGGGATGAGTATTCAGCAATCTTAGACCGAGAGAGAGTAAACCAGGTAAGAGGACAGAAAAATGACTCAGTGAAAAGCATCAACTTTAATAGACAATAAAAAAACAGTCTTGTGAACCATAGATCTGTTTAATAACTGATAAATTCAAGTACATGGTCCAGGACATTATACTATAATGTGACTTGTCCTCAGAACATGAGGAACTTTAATGTTTAATGGCTAAATGCAGAGTATAATCCTTGTCAGTGGAAAATGAGAACTCTGCTAAAGTTAATGTTAAAGCTATTTATATATCTATATACATCTACCTACAGAATATCTAGAAGTATCTATATGTATCTATATCTCTATAGAGGCAAACCTCAGAGACACTGTGGGCTTAGTTCCAGACAACCACAAACTCACAATACAGAAATTATGCAAGTCACAAGAACTTCTTTCCTGTATATAGAAAAACTGTTTATAGTATCCTATAGTCTATTAAATGTGAAACAATATTATGTCTACATAATAAATATTAATTAAAAATACTTTACTGCTTAAAAAATGCTATCGTCTGAGCCTTCAGTGAATCGTAATTTTTTGCTGGTGGAGGATCTTATGAAAATGCAGTACTGCAAAGTTCCATAAAAAGAGGTATGTCTATGTTTATATACACAAATGTATGTATTTTGAAATCAAGTTTATAAAGAGTTTATGTTTTGATTAACAGATGACTTAGTTCTTTCTCTTCTTGAAATCCAAATAAATAACAATGACTCAAAACAACTGAAGTTTGTAATTTTTCCCCTTTTAATAGCAGAAATAGCACAGGGACCCTATGAGAATACCATGCTACGTATTCAAATTTAGCATTTTTATGTCAGATTATTAAAAATATCAGCGACAAAAACTAGTATGTCTAAGTATTGATGAACCAGATAAAAATCTCTCATTATTAAATGAAACTCCTAGTAGATGGGTCTGTTCTTGTAATTTAAATATTCGACCACACTGATAAATTTCAATAACAATATATTAAACATTATATAAAAATGCCTTTAACATTATCATTAAAGAAAAATAACTCAATGATGTAAAACTTACCTTTCAAGGCAGCTGGGACAGATTTTGGAGTAGTGAAACTATATTCTTGGGAGAGAGGACCTTCCCCAGCTTCATTACAAGCTTGAATACAGAATTTATACGATGTTGACTCATTAAGTCTTTGTACTTTGTATGTATGACATGGTCCTCTGTACAAAGACACAAACCTACAATGGAAATAATTCTTATTAAAAATAAATCTTGACAACCTTATAAAAATGTTTGAAAACCACTAAAATAGTATAGTGGGACATTATTTAGGAAAAGTAGTAAGTTATTCCTAAATAATGGAGTAATAACCCAGAATGGTTTATCACACCAAATAAATTTGTGTTTTCTCATCAGATAATGAAAGGCACAAAACTATAAATTTAGCATTTGGTCATGGTCTCCCCAAAATTAATTTCTAAATTCTATGTCCAGTCACAGTAACTCCATCTTGTCAACTTTCTGGTTGCTGTCTTTTAATGTGCATATTTTTAAAGACAGAACACTACATTTTCACTATAAATTTCTAGTTAAGAATGATAGGTATACAATTTATCAACTATAGTAAGGATCTGATATATGAGATTACATTTTTAATTTTCCTTGTCTATAAGGAAAAAGACAATTATCAGTTAATATAGTTTTAGTTGATTTAGTGATTATTTTCTATATATTTACATCACAGTATAAGAGAATATACAATTTCCCATTAATAATCTATTAATGTTTGATGGAAAGTTTAATTTTTTAAAATTGACTTTATATTGGTGCAAAGTTTAACATCAGCTATGTTATCCTATGTTCTGATTGGTAACTGGGTAATTATGACTGTTTATATAGTTCTAGGAGGTTAGAAACTATAGTCAGTTTAAAAATAAAGAAATATTCAATTACTTCACTAATAGCATCTACTGAAACAATAAAAAGATAAGCTTTGCCTCTTTAGCCTCCAATATATATATATATATATTTTTTAAAAAGATTTATTTATTTATTTATACAGAACCGGGGTACAGGCCAGAGATGTGGAGAGAGAGAGGATTCACCAGAGACAGAATGGAGAACAGAACAAGCAGAAAGACGAAGTACACTGCTGAGAGGAACAGCAGGCGGGTCAGGAGAGGTCTGCCAGCCATGTGGCCACCTCCCGGGCATGCGGGAATCAAACTCCTTCAGAAGTGGCTTAAGCTTCTTAGTGCAGTGCTTTAACCTGCTGCACCACCAGGGAGGGCCAAAATATATTTTTTAATAAGAAGAAAACACCGGTGGTAAAAACATTGAAAAAGGCTGTCCAGTGACAAAAGTTGTGGCCAGGGAATAAGCTGAAGTAGCATTCTAACATGACCCCACAGCAAGTATAAATAGCTGCAAAAATCAAGGAGTAGGAAAGTGATAAAAATATAAAATTAATTTAACTTAGTAAATTTAATATTTTTAATCACTTTCCTACTCCTTTTATGATACGTTTACAGTATCATAAAAGGTTTTAATTTCTGTTTTTCATTACTAAAAGCCACCATTCCTACAGCTTCCTAGATGCTATTTATATTTAAGTTTGAACTTCTATAACAGAATGTAGACCAAACTAGAATCTTATTTAATAGAATATTTATCTTTCAACCAAACATTTTAGACTTGCTTCAGGTAAGGCTTCTTGCACTATGCCAAATGTAAATGATATAAAAGGGATGAAAAGAACTTAACAGATTTACCCAGCAATAACAGCATATATTAATAGTAAATATCTAAACCATAGTCCAGTGGTGGCAAGGAAAAGAACCTCTTTCTAGCATTAAAGCTACAAAGAATATTAAAATTCTGTCAAAAACAAAGGCTAACTAACATTCATCAAGGTACAGGTTTTAGGAAATTATCATTAGTGTTCACTCCATGTAATGCATTTACTGGTAATCCAGTATCTTTAATTCCCTATATATTTTTAAATGTGTAAATATTTCTGATAAGAGAATATTCACTATAAGCAGCATATGCTCTATTATTTAAATACTTCACTAAATCCAAAAAACAGAGTGCATAAGGAAAAATTGTCACTAGTTCTCTGAATCCATAAGCTATATAATTATATTAATTGAGTGAAAAGCAGAAAGGTAAAATACAAATTTTTAAAGTACCGAAGGCTTATAAAACACTTTGTATATGGCATACGACATTAGGAAAAAATAAAAGAGAGTCTTAACATTATAAATACTTGTGTTAACACTAAATGTTTGACTTAGTTGGGTAGAGTATGTAGTATGGATGTGCTGAAAATGTAAAAGATGGGAGCACAGTAAAAGGCTAAATAGTAAGGGAACTGGATAATTAATATAGTACGTCTGAGATGTGACAGTGAAGAACTGAACCATGTGCAGGATCTGTGATGGGGGTGTGGAAAAAAGTAAGACCCAATCCCAGTTCTCAAGTTTCTCAGAGGCCATAATCCAATTAATCATTTATTGTAATTATTGCCTTTTGCTGAAAATAAGTGTTGGTGAGCACTGGAAGTAGATTAGAGAACCAAAGAATAGTCCACTTAAAATTTTTTCTCTCAATATTCTATTCACAGGAAATCTTCATTGTGTGTTTCTGATGCTGTGAAAAATAGCACATTCGGAAATAATTTGAGAATTGTTTTTGAAAAAGCCCTATTTACTTCTATTTATAAAAACTTGCACAGTTAAAATTCAAAACTATATAATGAAGAAGCAATTATGAACACTTACCTTCCATTTTTGTCCTCCATCTGAAGGTGGTACTGAACAGAATCTGTTGACAATGTTTTTGGGGTTCCCTCTCCCCATTTCAGCTTAAGGTTCTGGTGGCTAAAGGCAACACATTCCAAACGAGGTGGATCAGGAGGGAGGGGCTTAGTTTTTAATTTTATCATGTGGCTGAAAGGCCCAGCTCCAAGGCTATTCAAGGCTTGAATTCGTATTCTAACAGCCATGTTAAAAAAAAAAAAAAAAAAAGAAAAAAGAATGAAAGCTAAGTTTATTATTGCTCTATTTAAAGTATCTCTCTGATCTCTGTAAAAAATTAAAATAGTTCTTAAATGTACCTGTATGTTGTATCTGGTTGCAAATTGTCTATAATATAGCTTGTAACCTTTCCCACTGTCAAAGGTTGTTTATCTCCAAAGTCTATGCTGTAGGCAAGGATTTCTGAGCCATGGTCACAAGGTTTTTCCCAACTGATTGCAAGGCATGTAGAAGGTGAATAACAGGAATTTTCTATATCATAATCACTTATTTCTTGAAGACAAGTCACAATAGCAGGAACTGATGGTGGAGTCACACATGCTATCACCTCACTGAAAGGGCCTGCACCCACAACACTCAGAGCCTACAAATTAACAGAGTCCTTAAGTTAACAAAAACAGGGTCATGCAAATGCTCATCAAATACAAAACTCTGACTATAACTGATAGAACATTGATTCCTTTTACCTGAACTCTGCAATAATAGGTAGTTGCTGGTAAAAGTCCCTTTATTTCATAACTGAGACCAGGTCCACAGTAACATATCTGCATACTTCCTTCAACTCCTCCCCATTCTAATCGATATTCAGTAACATCGGTTCCATTGCTCATAGGGACCTTTAAATTAAGAAAAGAGTAATGATTTTAAGTTTAAATATTGATAAAGCAGATTTCAGGAAAAAATGTTTACTACCTGAGGGTAGCAAAAACTGGATTTCTTTTGAAATTATTTAAAACATTTAAGTAGAATTAAAACTGTTCAACTATTACATTTTTATTCTTTAAGTCCTCCTGAATTTAAGGTTCGCCAAAAATACAATTTTGTTTTGACCTGGAAGTAACAAAATTACTTGAGTCACTTTAGAAAAAGTATTTTAAGACAAACATATTTCAAAATAATTCTATTAAGTAATACAATACGTTAAATCTTACAAGGATATTTTCTTTGTTATATTTCAAAGGAAACGGAAAATATAATTATCATTACTGATTATTACTATACACAATAAATACAATGGAGATAATAAGTATAATAGAATATTATACTAACTCCTATGAATATTTGTTCTGAACATAAGTTTACCAGTGACTAAAGAGCTTGTACTGAGACAAGGTCTTTGAAAAAATACAAAGTACATGATGAACAAGTCTAAATACTTGTAAAGCGAGTATGACTGACTGACATACTTCAAAGAGTAAAAAAGAATTTACTTTTTACCACACCAACTTATCTAATTCTTACTCTATCATTAAAGATGCAAAAATAAACAATATCCTCTTATTTCATACTAACTATTCTAACTGCTTAAGGTTGATGGAAATTATAATACCTACCTCCCAATTCACTTGTGCACAAGTCGCAGATCTGCATGTTACTTGAGGGGGCTTGCACTGACCTGGTGGCCCAGGGGCTGTGGTAATATCACATTTTTCTGAAAATGGTCCAAACTAGAATAACAAATATAACCAATTTTCTTTTAAGCCACTGATTACACAATTCTACAGCAATACTCACAACTAATTAGGTGCAAGTAAAGTGTTTCATCCCTTTCCATGAAGACTAACTATTCATAATGTAATTCTAATCATTTGTTTGAAGTAACATTGGTTTTCATCATTGTGTATGATTCAGAAAAACAAGTTCACATTTTATAAGATGTGCATCACCAGAACCATAATAAAATTCAAAAAGCATTCATGAAAAGTAAAAAAGATTTGATGATTTAATGATCATGGAGGTGAGAGTGTGGGTTATTTTAAAATCTCACTTACTATATATATTTCCATCTCTTGCTCTTTATTCCTTCATGAACTGGTTTTTGTAAAAAAGGCAGGGCACTGGGGAATTAGGTAGGTAGAATATGTCAGAAAAAATTGTGAGGGATTATGGAGTAGATACCAATTAAAGGCATGGGTGAAGTTAGTACAAATTAAATCTTAAAATTTAGAATAGCTTTCCAAGAGTCTAAAATACATATTTCTGGACACACAGAAAGCAAATGCTAAAATCACTTTGACAAATTATCAAACCTGAAAATAGATTGAGGGCACAAGTATTAAAGATGCTATGCCAGGCCCTCCCTGGTGGCGTAGTGGGTTAAAGCACAGCACTAAGAAGCTAAAGTCACTTCAGCATGAGTTCGATCCCCACCTGCCCTGGAGGTGACCACATGGCACAGCAGACCTCTCCTGACCCGCCCGCTGCTCCCCTCAGCAGTGTGCTTCATCCATCTGCCTGTTCTGCTCCCCGCTCTGTGTGTGGTGAATCCTCTCACCGTCCCTGCACCTCTGGCTTGTACCCCAGTTCTGTATGTATAAATAACTAATCTTTAAAAGAAAAAAAGATGCTACGCCAATGCTTGCAGCTTTTCTGGGGCTGACAAAATGATAACATTGGGCAGGAAGAATCATGTAAGAACTGCCAACACAGTACATAAATATGACATATAAAAAAATTGAAATAGGTTTATACATATAAGTACTGAACTCAGTTGGAAAATAGGGTATAAAATACACTTCAGTTCACAAAAATCTGAAATAATGTAGGACGAGGAGAAACTTCAGTCTGGAGTCTGACAAACTTGAGTCTGTGTTTTACCTCTATACTACTTTTAGTTTGTGAGATGGTGAGCAAAATATGTAGTTTTTCTAAGCCCTGGTTTCTTCAGTTGTAAAATGGAGATATCACCTATTTTGACTATTTTCATGAGGTTGTACAGATACATGATTAATTAAAAAAAGAGAAAATTACACAAAACAAGAAATGCTGAAAACATAAATTCTTTTCCCTTAGGCAAAACATGAATCATAACTGAAAGAAAATACTGCATATAACCAGTCTCAAAAACTTAACTTTTCTAAGTACTTTCATTATGTGAAATACATACTTTTAAATTTACCAAGTAAACTCTACTAGCACTACCTGAATGGCAAATTTAGTCCACTTAAAGTCCAAAGTGACAAAAACAGTTAAGTGAGGTTTAAAATACTGAAATTCTAAAACAATTAGATCATGGTATATACTGACCTTTTACTTATCAATGGAGTCACATAAACCAAAATAGCCAAATAAAAGAAGTGATAATATGTATTAAAATGAAACACATTGATTGTAATTTAGTCAATATGTTTTCCTACCCCCATTTTGTTGGCTGCACGCAATCTGAAGCTGTAAGTCTTTCCAGGAAGAAGGTTGCTCACAGTACATTCTACTTCAGAACCTTGGTAAATTTCTCTGGGTTCATCTTTTTCTACAGGAGACATTTCCACACCATAGCAGGAAATAGGTGATCCACCATCGACGAGAGGGGGTCCTAAAAGTGGAAAGATTTATGCAATTTAATAAGAGGAGCATATTTAGCACTAACTTAATCATAATTTATTACTAAAATGGAAATTACCCCATCGTAACTGTATTTCTTTTGCTTTGGGTCTACCCTGTACTCTGGGAGGGAGGCATGGGCCAGGAGGCACAGCTGGAGTCTGCACAAGTAAAGACTCAGATACCTGCCAAAACAAAAGAAAAAACAAAACAAAAATGCCCCAAGCCAAATAATCAGATTGCTTCTGTTAAGGGAAAATAACACAAACACAAAGATTGCACCAGTAATATAAGGTTTTACTTATTATCAACTAAAAAGGAACAAAGTTGTGAATAAAAATCAAAACCCAACAAACCATTAAAATTTAAATTTATATAAACAAATAAGAAAAGACTCGTACTATGTGAATAACTCATATAAACACAAGTTGGAGGGGAGGAAACAGATTTCCTTTTCTTTCCATAATCAAAAAATGAAAAACAACCTCTACATCACTTAATAGGTTTAATTTTTTATCCTGTCCAAATGAACCCATAAATCTCTTAGAAGGAAGGATGTTTTACATTCTATAAATGCAATGTGCCTTGTTTGCAGGAACTTTAAATTGTTTTGGCTACTTTACAGTGTACTATGTTTTTAACCTAAATATTAATTTATTTAAAAAAAACTTTCCTTCTTCCATCTAAAAATAATTTGAAAATTATTGTTCAGGTAAACTGCAGGTACATGACCTCTTTTTAGTTTCTATTTTAATTTTTAAAAACACAAACTCAATGCTATTTCCCTCTATCTGCACTGTAAGAAAGCTTAAACTTAACATTCTTTCCAATTATAAATATTTGATCATCACTTTATCCAGAAAAGTACCTTATAGAGAATGATATGGTATTGGGGGGGTGGAGGTATTGCTTTTTTCTTTTTAAATTCAGGGAAGATTTACTTGTTAAGTAAAATGAAGCAACTATATCACAGGCTTATTGAGTAGGACTTGCACTCAGTTTCACAATATTTGTATTTTCAACAAAATGCTTGTGATTTATTTTTGAGAAGTGTACCTTAATTGTATTAAACTATTCTGAGAAATAATAAGAATGCTCCAAGAGACCATTCTTGGTCAAAAAACTTACCTCTACAGAACACTGATCATCAAAGGCGCAATTTAAGTCCATTTTGGTTACCAGATTTCTAATAATAATAAAATAATTGCCAACTTTTCAAAATTAAGTATGAGAATCTCTAAGCAATAAATAGTATTTTATGGTTTGTTCTTACATACAGTAGTTATGGAACAGTAAGTGAAACTACATTTTATTTTCATTTCTGCTATCTGAACATCACCGTAAGGTTTTACATACAAATTTTCTGTATTGTTTTCATATATTTGTTTTTCTAAAATTTAATACCAGGCCCACAATATTCACTGAATATGACTATCAGCTAAGCATTAAATTAGAATATTCTCATCACTATAAAGTTAGCCACTTAGAGAAATTACTTTTATATATTTGTGAATACACTTCAATATTTGACTTGCCATCTGGTGATGTCATCTTATTTGATCAACTTAAAAAAAAAAAAAACAAGTTCATATAAGTATTACCGCACTCTGTCCGCCATCACTGATGCAGTAAACTCGTACACGATAGAAGCAGCCTGGATTCAGTCTATCACAAAGATGTTCCCTGGTAGCTCCACTGTATATCATATCCCATTTGTTTCCTGTAAAGTGAAGAATTATGTTCAATTAGCTACAAGGTAATGTTTAACACTGTGGTATTATGGACAAGGCAGGTATCCTAGTTTCACTATAAAAGCGTTTATACAATTTGTCAGAAACAATTTAAGCTCATTTTGAGTTTCCTGGTAATGATCTAATTTTATGTGTGCAGCTTTCTAGATAAATTTGCATGGCTTTGTTGATGCGAAATAGCTCTGTAAATCTGTACAAGCTTTGGCTTACATTGATAATTCACTTTTAATAAAGCATTCTAAATGTGCTTACTGATCCAGTAATAACATTATGACACATAAAGAGAAGAAAGAACCAATATGATAGGAAATTTGTTCTGAATTAAGACTTTTTTTTTTGCAGAAAATATTTCATTTCATAGAAATATGGATTATTAAATGTGTGACTCAAGAGTAAAGTTCAGAAGGCATAGAATTTATTATTTGAATTAATAAATTAATTTCCAGTGTTATTTTTTTCTCTGACATAGCTAGCTATAACTGAATAAACTGTCTTCAGAAACTTTTAGACTAGGTATATACAAACAAGAAAAAAAATAAAGAAATGTAAACACAGAAATACAGCTATCGCAGTGTTACATTTGACTTACTGGATCTCTACATCTTAACTGAAAAGTTAGTCATAAAGAAAAATCCTTAGTGCTACAGAGATAAAAATTCAAGAGGAAAGAAAAGAAATATTATAAAACATAAAGTAATGATCAGGAGTAGAAACCTAGGCACACTTACCATTAGGACCTTCTGCCATCTCCACTACATATTTACTGATGGGTGCTCCTCCATTGTCTTTTGGTGGGTCTATCCCAGGAAGCAAAACTAGTCATTAGGCAAAGTACATGCAACTAAAATGATAGCACAATCCCAATAAATGGAAGGCCAAACCTAGTCTTGTTTAAAAAAGAAAAAAGGGGTCTCCCCAGTGGTGCAGAGGTTAGAGTCATGCTATAAAGCTATCACCAGCCACTGCAGCATGCGTTTGACCCCCAGAGAGGAAGCTGATCCACACGGCACAGCAGACCTCTTTTGTCTTGCCCGCCACTCCTCTTAGCAGTGTATTTTAGTAGATCTGCCTTTTCTGTTCCCACTCTGTCTCTGATAAATTCTCTCACTTGCCTAAACCCCAGTTCCTGTATGCATAAATAAATCTTAAAAAAAAAAAACAAGAAAAAAGAATCACCTATAATACCATCTTATTACTGTATTACTTTTCTACCAGCATATAAGCAAGTGCTCAATACATGTTTTAAATGAATAATGATTTTCATTTCCCCTGAGTTAGGATGACTGAGGTGACTTGGGGGACAAATTCAGTAATCTTTCATTTCACACAGTTCTGCCCCTGCTCATAGGCCTAAGTAGACCCCAAGTTCTTCCTGCATGATATCTATTCTTAATGTGAGTACAAAGCTATCCACAAAAGATATCCTCAGACACTGACTGAATCTCATATATCTGACTGAAGTTGGCTGACCTAACACATTTACTCAAATATCTTAAAATACCTTAATATTCAAATCATTTAAACCAAATATGAAAATAGTAATGTAAAAATATGCAAACATCTTACCCCAAGTTATCTTAAAACTGTGTGAATGTATCTTTCCTTTAACTGAAGGTTTTACAGGTACTCCTGGTTTATCAGGGCATGTAGTAAATTCTACTACATCACTTGGATTACTTTTACCTTCTGAGTTATAAGCAATAACCTGGATAAAGAACACAAAAACATTATAATTAAAATTGGCACCTAAAGATAATGACTTAATGAATATTGATGAAACAAAGAAGCTCAACCAAATGACAGTTTTCAGATTGTGATGGCTTGTTTATGTAAGACTTGCTTGTCCTTAATAGGGAGTCTGTACATGACAAGTATGTAGTTCTTGGAAAGCAAATTTAAGGCTGACATTTTGGTAGGAAATAAGAGTCATTACAGGAACTATAATCTGATGATACTTGAAGGACTTTATTTAGGCTTTCTTTACTTGTTTTAAAATTCTTTTGAGGAGTTTAATGGCATACTTCTAGCAAACAAAATATAGCAGAAATAAACGTGTGTATAGATTTCCTATGGAGAAATTCATGTGGTGAGGAACTGAAGCTTATAACCAAAAGTTATGTAGGAATTAAAGGCTCCTAGCCACTACCACACTGAATAAACTCAGAAGCAAATTTTCCAGCCACGGTCAAGTCTTCAGCTGAGTGCATCCCCAGGGATATCTTGACAGCAACTTCACAGAGACCCTACATTAGAGCTAACCAGCTACTTACAGCTATTATATTTGATTTTAGAAATTTAATTATGTTTATACTTCTATTGAACTTAAGTTCCTCATAGTCAATGCCAGACCTCATATGATTTCTCTTTTCCAGACTTGTTTCATCTCTGCTCTTTCCCATCAATAAAAAGATTTTAGTTGTTCAATCAAAAATCTAGGATACATAGATGATTCTTCTTTATCTAAACCTATATACCAACTCTGTTAGTAAAACTTCAGTTCTACCTCCACTTATGTTTTCTACCTATTTAGTCAAAGCTTCTTCTGGCCTATCTTTTCTGAATGACAACAATATATTATTACTTAGTTTCCCACCTTCCATTTCTGCTCTCAACCTCCTCATTCAGAAAGCATCTATCATTCTGAGTTGGAAATCCTACAATGATTCTCATCTTATTCAGATTAAAATTTAAATTCTTTTCCATGGCCTACAATACCTTATGTGACTTTATCCCTGAGTATCTTCACTTCAGGATCTTAGCATTTTCAACTATTTTCCCTGTCTAGAAATGTTCTTTCTGATCTTGACATGCTAACTTCTTCCTGTCATTCAGATCTGTTTAAATGTCATTTCTGAGAAGACTTCCTTGACTACCCACTAATTCTCTACAACCTCACCCTATTTTAGTTAAGTTACATAATACACAATCTGGTATTTGCTGGCTCGTTTACTTTCTAATGCCCCCCCCCTCCAAAAGAATAGTAGATGTTTTGATCACTGCTCTATTCTTACTGCCTGGAACAGCACTTATCATAGAATAGGTGGCTCAATAATTACAGGTTGAATAAACAACTAACAGATGAAGAACATTATATGACACTGTGGACATGGATCTTAATAAATTTATTATCCCAAACATAATCCATGAAAACTCAGTAAATACAGTTTAATTGTTCAATTTGCTCAGGTTTCCTTAACCTTCCACACAGTCAAATGAATTTTCAGGATGATTTTTCACTTTGCTGCTTTATAAGATTACAAGTAGGGATCAAACATTTCTCAATTTGGTAAACAGTGTCTACTTACACTGAAGAACTAAAGGACATTTTTGGATTAAGAATATTCTCTAAAAAACTTTAAAGATCTAATTATATTTTAAAGGTAATATATTTCAGCACTGCATCCTTATACTATAGAGCACATTTCCAGTTAACCTTATGGTTGTATACCTTTATGTGTGTGGGCATCCCTCCTTGCAATAAAAATCACCATTTAATAACAACTACAGAGGGAGCACTCTGCTAGGAACCCTGTAAGTATGGTACTTAGATTCAAGGAGTTTAGAATCTTTTGTAAAAAAGAAGCAATATGCCTATCAAAAGAATTAGGCAAGAGGAGAAAGATTACCATGACCTTGGCCTAGCAAGATTTTGGAAAAACAAAATGAAGTGATATTCAGTCTTCAAGGGCAAAGAGGAGTCAAGGGGAAACTTGGGGAATAAAACACAAATTTCTGAGCTTATGAGCAGAAGTGAATAGTAAATAGTGAACTCTGTGCAGGAAAGGATGAATAATCAACCTCAACCTAGCGAGGTAACAAGTTCAAGCAATAAGCGAAAGGCAGTACATCATATATACAATGGGCCATAACATAAACAACCTTAAGTTAAACTAAGAAATTGTCTGGAGGAAGAGCTGTGTTTCAGAAAGATTAATTTAGGTACAGAATAGAATTCTGATTAGAAGGTGACAGAACTGTTTGAATACAGTTATATAAAGGTTTGGAGATGAATGGTCTTTTAAGATAGAAATGACAATGACATAAGGTAAAGAGAGGATTTACACAAGGGAGGATGGGATATACCAAGAAGAACTAAGAACTAAAGAGATGTACTGAGGTACAATTAAATTAAAGCAAGAGAAAAGACATCACAGAATAATAGTAGACAAGAGAGAGACAGGAAACATGATTATATACCACTGTTACAGGGCAACCCTGGTATGAAATGGGTTGCCTGACATCCTTTTCTCCTAACACTATCACAGATGCAGACATATAAGTGAATTTTAAGGATGGAAGATAAAAGAAGTTAACAGATCTAATTTTGTGGGACCCCTGACCCTCCTTGTACTTGGGGCTATTGTCTTGGTGCCGAGTTAGTTAAACTTATAGTCAGGTAGAAGACCGCTCACTAAGGACAACCGTTCTGATATGAGGAACATAATGGGAAACCAGTATTTGTTGAAAACAGTAGGCAGATATTATGGCCAGATTAGCAAGATGAGCTAAAATACCTTACTTGTAAAGATTAGTAGAAAGGTAAGAATAAGAAATAGATAGTATGCTTTGATTATCAGGAACTATGGAGTCCCCAAACAATAGCTCCTGGTAAGGCCACTCCAGGTTGCACCAGATAATCATGCATCCCTGATAACATATTCCCCATATGTCCTTGCCCATCTTCACTTAACCTGGTTCTAAATAAATGAGACTACCCTTGGACAGAGGCTGCACCTTCCTGATGTAGTCCTCCTTGTAGGTTTCCCATGGCTCCAACACAGTTTTGGACTTTGAATAATCTCCCTTGTTCTGTACTGCTCCCAATGCTGCCCTCTATGAGGTGGCACAATTTCTGTTTTGATTTCTCTCTAGCTATGAAAAAGTCTCAAAACCAAGCAAGAACCTAAAGTCAAAGTATATAAACATTCTCAGCTCAAAGTACTTCGAACTTGACTAGCACAATAAGGTACTGATCACTAGTCTCTGAAGTCTCTCTCTCTCTTTTTTTTTTTTACAATTTGAATACCAAGTCCTAGGCTCAATTTTTTTAACTATTTAATGGAATCAGCATCCTTTGTTTAGCACTCTGAATTTTAAATGTTTTAACAAATCCCCGAGTGCTTCCTTAATGCTTTAATTACTTTCAATTTTCTTTTGTTCTTTGTATCTTTTGCTTTAGTATTCTGAGTGTCCTAGAACTGTCCTTACCACAGAACCTAGAAATCTGGTATTCAGTAAATTTGGTCACATTAGAATCTGATTTTTTATTAATTATATCTATACTGTTTTTTAAACAAGCAATAATATAATACACCTAGTCAGTCTTCCTGAATTACATCTTTACTGCTTTCCCCTTGTAGTATAGGATTGAGTATATTGAGATTTTATTTTACGTTTGATTGAATGAAAAGTATGTAATACCAGGCTAGAAAAGACTGAGGGTAACAGCATTCACTCTCAGCTGACATGCTGCAGAGTGAATGAAAATAAATTGAGTTCTTAGACAACTTCATATAGTGACCATTCTCCATTTCCTGGTATTTTTCTTTCTTCTCTAGATCAATGGTTTCCAAATTTCAGCAAGCATTAAAATCCCTTAGAAGGCCTGCTAAAATAAGTAAGATTGCTGGCCTTACCTTCAGATTGTCTGGTGTGGGGCCAACAGAGAATTTACAATCCTTACAAGTTTCTAGCTTATGTAGATAGAATGGTCTGGTGACACAGCAAAGAACCACTGCTCTAGAACTTACCACTATTCTGTTACTTTCAAAGCCAGTGCTTTAGGGACACACTATTTTCAATCTCTAACTCCACTTAATTGGGAGGGGTCCTCTTTGGAACAGCCTATTGTCTCCTTGGAGATTCTGATTGTATGAACTGCAGTAGGAGTGACTATTTTAATAACAGTGAAACAAAATTTTAACTCAAAATGTGTTAATTTGTTTATAGCAGGTCAGTAAAGAATTTAAATGTGTATACATTTCTGTCCCTATGTAGCAAGAACAATATGGTGTTACATAGTGACAGAATTCTAAGGGTTTTAATAAGTTATAAAGACATTAACAACTTTTCTTATTAGATATATTGGTCAGATTTCAGAATTGAAGCAAAAATATAACCCACTCTGATCATAAAAAGAAAAACTGAAATGAATACGTTAATGGCAACCCCAAAATGTGTGGGGCCCGGAGATCCTCTAGGAGAAAGAATTCACCAGTTTTTGAGTAAACCAGGCATGGCTGGTTTTATTAGAGGTTTGTGCATGAAAGAACCATTGCTGGAAAGAATTTAGCTTGGGTACTTGTGGGGCATTAGCAGGAGGGGAGGAGCCAATCGGCATGTAGCTTTTTCTGGGTTGGGCTATATACCTAGGCATATGGATCACATGCCAACTGTGCGGGACTCTCAGGCTTCTCTCTCCAGGAAATCATGAAATAATCCTAGTCAGGATCTTAATGTTTAGTCTAGCATGGCACTTCTGTTGGTCAGGCTGGAGAGCCAAACTGAACAGGGTGTTCAGTTTTAGTTCCCTTGCTGAAACAGGACTTGGAGCAACTTATACTACTGAACTGCAGTATCTTTTACCTAGGCTGGCTCAAATACACATACTTTAAAATGTTTTATAAACCTTTCATAAATGTGAAGATACTATTTGGAAATTAAAGTGACCCACTGTTAACAGAACTTTAGCTAATACCTAAAATAAAAAGCATAACAAACTACATGCTGTGCAATCAATTTTCCATTATCATTACAATTTTATTTCTAAGAGTAATAAAATTTGCCTTTGGTTTTTAATAGCAAAAACAATTTATAGTGGCTTCTTTTATTTATTAGAAATGATTATATTTGATTAAACAAGTACTGGTAAGAAAATTCAAATGCTGAATTTACCAACTAATAAGCATCTTTGGGGATGCTTTGGGGAAAACTACACAAAAATGTAGGCTGGTTTTTATTAACTGGTCTAAACAATTAGCCAAGAAACAATTAGCCAAGAAATAGCAATGTGTATCATTGGCCAAAACAGAGTTAGGATATTGCTGTATTAGGAAAGATGCAGAATTATAAGAATCTTCGTAGAAGTATTTTCAAAGTTTGCTAAGCAAGAATGATGTAGGTAGTGTCTTTCTGCCTTTGTCCGGTAATGATCCAAAGCTAAACAAGCCATAGGGTTTGTTTTTGTGCTGGGGTTCAGGGATAGGTTGGGTGGAGATAGCAGCACTTGCTGGTAGAGACTCAAGCACCCTGAATGGGACTTCAGGGAAACAGCATAAAATACACTTATTACTCAGATGTTGGCTTCTAAATACTGTTGCTTACTAAAAGGACCCAGATAATTTACAGAAATGGCTAATAAATTACAAAGTTGAAGAAGGGACAGTACTAGATAAGACTATTTTAAACTATTAATAATTTTCATGCTACAATGGAAGGACACTAATTATGATGAGGACGGTGAGCTATGTCAAATGGATTCAGAAGCCAGATTTAAAAGGCTCTCAAATTAGATACAATTTCAACCACATAATAAATAACCAGAGTAAAAAAATACAATCTATTCACTGAACAGGAATCCATGAGTTAAAACTGAAATAAATGAAAGAAAGCTTTTCTTAAAATACAGTAAAGAGCTAATTAATGTAGAAGAATTGACAAAATTAAAATTACTACTTGGCACTCAATAATGATAGTAGTAACTGATTCAGACAAGAATTATCAATGAATGTTAAAAACTACAAGGTGGAAGTTTGATGAATAACAAGATGTTTATGTAGTATTCACAATACATTAATATACAAGGAAAAGAAAAGGAGAAACCAACTTAACAGGAAAACAGATACTGTTTTCATCAGGTAATTACCAGGAATGGGATAAACTGAAATTGTGTACCAGTTGATATGATGACTGAGAAAACAACATTTTTTTCCTGATGTCCCTGCCAAGAAAGTATATATTTAACATCTTAAAAAGATGTCTGTTCACATTAAGAGTTCTGTAAAATACTATGATTGTTTTGAATTTAAATACATAAAGTTTGAGAAGCACTGTTATAAAGAAAGCAAGTGTTTTCTTTTATTAGTAATGGCCAAACAATTTAAGATTTGAAACCGAAGAAGTATGTACTTGAGTTTAAAACATCAGTAACAAATCATAATCTCTTAAGGGCTTTCAAAACTTACCTTAAATTTATACTTGGTACTACGTCTAAGATTTTTCACTGTGTAAGCAAGATCTTCTCCATCATATTTAGGCTTAAAGCCATATCCCTAGAAAGGGAAAAATAAGATGTCAGTTAGATGTCTAATAGCCTAAACACACAGGAAAAGACCCAATTCTCTTCATATTTTACTTTGTACAATGTAATTAAAACTATTTTGAGTATAATCCTCACCTTGATGACCCTATTTTGAGTGGATAATCCAGAATTGCTTTTGAATATTTGTAAGAAGATGAAGGAGATACTTAATCTCCTTAAGTACAGTAGTCAAAAGAACATCTTTGTGTTGAAGGAAGATTAAGAGTGCTGGAAATTAGAGCTAACACTAATTCCACCATCAGTAAGCTTATCACTAGAACTAACAGGAACTTCCCAAACAACAGCTGAGAGAGTTGAACTATTTCAAGAACTAAAGAGAACTCTAGGGTTCCTTGAGCATATAGTTGTGAGTAGGTGAATACATGAATGGTTGGTTGTACTGACAGGTAGAGATGTCATTTAGGTTTGGAATTTCTATTTACAACCCCAGTGATGATGCTTCACTACTTTTGTAACATGACTTAAAACAAACAAAAAACCGAAGACAATTCACATACCATAAAATTTATCATTTTAAATTATAAAAATTAAAAATTTCAGAGTATATTTACAAGTCTACAACTATCACTTAATTCCTAGTTCCAGAATAAAGCCTGTACTTTCTTTTTTGGTTTGTCAGTTTACACTTGTTTCTCATTCACTATTATACTGTCTCTATGGATTTGACTATATTCATATAGATGGGATGAAATAATAGATGATGTTATGTGACTGGGTTCTTTTCCTTAGTATAGTTTTCTGAGATTAAAAAAAAAAATTGAGGTAGCATTAGTTTACAGCACTGTGTAAGTCTCAAGATTATATTTTCTCACCATGACCATCACTATTACCACCAAACTAATGGGTTGATTCTACTAATACTCCCTCTTTTTCCTTTCCCTCTGGTAATCAATATTTTGTGTTCAGAATCTAAGGGTTTGTTATTGCGTTCTTTGTATTTCACAAGTGAAATTATACAGTATCTGTCTTTTTCCTCCTTACTTATTTCAGTTAGTATAATCCCCTGAAGAGGGATTATAGTAACAAATGGCAAGCTTTCATCTTTTTTAATGACTGAAGTAGATTTCTATTATACCATGTGTTCTTTATCTGTTCACCCACTGTTGGCCATTTGGGGTGTTTTCTCATGCTGCAATGAATACAGAGTTGCATTAAGTTTCTACAAGTTTGTTTTCATATTCTTTGGATAAATATACCCAGAAGTGGGATAACTGAATCATATGCTAGTTCTAGTTTTATTTTTAATTTTTTGAGGAACCTCTGTACTGTTTTCCAAAATGCCTATACCGATTTATATTCCCACCAACAGATAAAGGTTACTTTTTTTCATATCCTCACAAACAATTCTTATTTCTTAACCACCGATGCCCATCTAATTCTGGTCTTTTCTTTTGGGGAGGTTTTGATATTGCATCATTTGCTTATGATTGGTTTGTTCAGATTTTAGCTCTTGTGGCTCAATTTTTGGAGGTTGTATAATTCAAGGAATTTATCCACTTTCTCTAGGTTGTTCAATTTCTTGGCATACAGATGTTCATAGTAATCTTTTGTATTTCCATGCTGTCACAATATCCTTTTTTATTTCTACCTGTTTTTTTTTTTAAATGACTGGCCAAAGCTTTATCAATTCTGCTGATTTAAGAAAAAACAAGCCAGCGCCTTGTTTCACTGATTTTTTTTAAGTTTGTTTTCTATTTCATTTATTTCTAAGATTTTAAATTATTTTCCTCCTCCTACTTACTTTGGGCTTAATTTGTTCTGTTTTTTGCTAGTTCCTTTAGGTTTAGGACAGACCATTTGAGTTTTTTCCCTTATTTTTTGAGATTAGCCTATATTTCTACTGACTTTCTTCATAGTACTGTTTTTGCATTCAGAAAATTCTGATATTTTCATTCTCATTTGTCTCCAGATATATTTTGATTACTCCACTGATTTTTGTGGTGACCAACTATTTGTTTGGCAACATGTTTAATCTCCACTTAGGTGCAGTCTTCACCATTTTTCTTCTTATAGTTGATTTCAAAGCTCACATCATTGTAGTTAAAAACATACCTGTTGTAATTTCAAGCTTTAAAAATTTACAGAAATATGGGCACTCCCTGGTGGCGCAGCAGGTTAAAGTGCAGCACTGCAAATGAGCCTCAGCCTCTTCAGTGCCAGTTTGATCCCCAGCCCTGGAGGTGACTCAGATGGCGCAGCAGACCTCTCCTGTCCGGTCCACTGCTCCCCTCAGCAGTGTACTTCATAGATCTGCCCGTTCTGCTCCCCACTCTGTCTCTGGTGAATCCTCT